TTAATGTTAAAATGAATATTTTTATTATTAGTTAACACTCAGATCAAGAATTGAATTATTTAATGAAATTTTAATTCAAATAAAAAACACAAATTATTTCTTAATTCTTCATAATTACTTTTTAGGAGCATGATAATAATCTTTAAAGTTTGCCCGCAAATAGTTAACCTAATTAATTATTTTTAATTTTTATGTAGCAATCCTTTGTATTAAAATATGCAAAAATCACCAACTTTTCATTTGATGGTGTTCTTTTGTTTTCTAGTTGTTTTTCTTTTATTCATTCTTATCTTTAATTAAAAATAGAAATATATTTTAGATGAGTACTTGTTTCGTAATTTTTTTAATAATAGGTGATTTGTATGGAAATAAAGACTTCTGATCTCATGCTATGAAAGTTTCTGAAGGGATGTGATTAGGGCTTTATATGTGGTGCAGACTTAAATAACTTGTACTTTCTGAGTTAAATTGAATGGATGTATTAGCCTTTAAATCCATGTGTTTCTAATTCTCATTATATTGTGAAAAAAAAAGCAAATGTGATTAGGGCTGTTAACGGTTCATGCTTGTTATATTCAATTTTGAGTCAGTTTGGCTCAAAATTGAATTGAGCTCGAAATCAAAATGAGCTGGCTCACATTGAGTTGTTGGGATCATTTACAGCTCAAATGTGGCATGATCTGGCTCGAAGTAGAAATGAGATGCAAATTGAGTTATATGAATCTGTTCTAGCTTGAAATCAGACTTACAATGAAAGGATTGTTCCAGTAGTCTAATATTACATCGTTGCCATAGTTATAGCTGCTGGTTGTCATTCTTGCATCAGCACAATTATTCCATTGCATAGGTTGTTAGTACGTATGTGATGGCCTAAAGAACTTCAGTTACTCAGGTCAAACGCACCACAACTTCTATAAGCAATATTTGAAAGAAAAATTGGGGCCAATATTCATGATCAAATCCTTTATTATGAAATTAAATTTTAAAATTGTATTTTATTTTAACTATAGTACAATACATAATAATTTAATTAATTTTTATTTAACATATATAAAAATAAATTTATTGTTTTTTAAATTTATAATAATAAAAATTTCATCAAAATTTATATACTTAAAACTCTTTTTTTTTTCTTTTTTTTTAATTGTAGTGACGCGTGATCTCGCCTTTCCCAAGCATGGCGAGCATGTAGAGGCGGCGGAACCTTCGCGTTGACAACGACTCCCATTGTTCCAAAGTAAAGAATAAACGCGGACGAGAGTATATGTCGCCTACGTATCACTACGTGCTAATAAAAGCTACAAAGATTTCCTGCGACCCCAATTCCTCCAGCAAATATATACATTTAAAGCGCCAAATTGTACGACCCACTGGCCCCCATCAATGGTACCAAATTGCCATATCGATGCCTCACCTTTGCCACCTTTTCCTTCTCTTTTTCTCTCTCCTCCCCCCCTCTTTCTCTCTCTTCTCGACAAGAAAGATAACGATGTCCATAGAGTTGAAAAAGGTGAGCAGCTCTACACCAGAATTATTAAAACAAACCACACCCCACCACCTCCTCCACCGATTAAAAAATCACAATTCTAAACAGCATGAAAAAAAGATGAGCCTTTTAATCTTAAATCATAAGCCATATGTGCCAGTGATAGCGCCCTCGCATCTCGAAAACCATTATATTATTTATGTATAATCAATGAAGGCCGCAGATCACGTCGATCCACTTCATTCATCAACACACACTGTTCACTGAAATATTTAGTAGTAGGGTTTCCATTAGAACAATCATTCCATCTCCTAATCCTCATAGTCCAATACCAGGTTTGGTACGACGTTGGTAGCCAACTGTTCATTAAATAGAAGCATGGGAAACATGGCTGACGTGGTCCGAAGCCGACGACGCCGCTGACTGCGTAAAGCTCCACAAATCTCCCTCTCCTTCTCCGCCGCCGCTCTGGTTCGGCTGATAATCCTGAAAGCCGCCGTTAAGAAGCCTTGCGCTGGCTGACGGGCAGAAAGAGAACGCGTTGACGTCGTCACCGTTGAGATGGGAAGCGACAAGCCGGTCCAGGGTAGCCCAATCGTTGAACCCGGGATCATGGTTGTAAGAAGAGGGCTCAAGGTTGACTACCTCTGCATGGTAGCTATTACAAGAGTGCTCAGCGCAGAGAAGAGAGGGGTAATCAGCTGCCGAGATAGGCGTTAGGGTTGTTGGGCTCTCGAGAGCCGGTAGTTTCATGAATCGGTCGTGGAGGTTAGCGGATGAGCCGATGGTTGTGTCGATGGGGCGGTGATACCTACTGCTTATTTTGCTTGTGTTGACGTTACTCATCAGGAGGACTTCTCTCTCCTGCTTGCATGTTCTTCCCATGTATTGAAAGATTTGGTCAAGCCCACTTTCGCTGTTTGACTGAACAATAGGAGCTTTGGAATCGTGATTGAATGTAGAGGAATAGTTGTTTGTGCTATCTATGATTTTGTTGAGGTTCTTTTTCTTGAAGACACGGCAAACAACCCATCCTTCTTCTTGGGTTAGGGCATCACCCATGCTGCTCGACACCTGTAGTAATCAACATACTTATTACTTTATGTAATGTGCATAGATATTTTCGTATGATGTATGGAACGAAGCATACGTTGGAGAGAGAGTTGGAAGTATCAGAATGTTCTTCGAGGCGGTACTCGTGCATGATCCAGTCTGACTTCTGGCCATGAGGTGCTCTTCCCCTGTAGAAGACGAGCGTCTTCCTCATGCCGATTCGTTTGAGGCCGGCGTAGATGATTTTGTCACGGCCGGTCGCCTTCCAGAATCCGGCAGCGGTGGCGCGGTTTGTTCTGGTGCCTGTTGGATACTTCTTGTCTTTGTGGCTGAAGAAGTACCAGTCATTCTGTGGCGTGGAGCCAATTTTGCACTTCTCTGTTACAACAGCCAGCAAAAAATGGAATATACTGAGTGGCTTAGCTGAGTTTTGATTTGAAGTTAGTGGAAGGAAAAGAAATCTTGTATTAAATTTATGAGGTACATGGTCAACATACTACACATTATTATAATAAAGTGTAACTACTATGATATGTATTACTGCAAAAAAGTTTCTTTTTTTTTTTCCAATTTGATGGGAGACAAACTTCCTAAAAAATATTAAATCAACAGAGAATTTAATAATATTGTTTTATATCTTATATAGCCATCATGATGAGTATAATGCTAAAATATATAAATTATGTACCACAAATATTTCTACATTGCACGCATCTGAATCATAATCCAAAGATATACAAACAAACTTAAATGGAAAACCAAAAAAATTCTAATTAAAGTTTTGTCTACTAATGAAGCTAGAGCCACCCACTGACTTTCTTGATGACCCTTGTAGATTAGGGAAGAGATTACAGAACCTTGAATATCCCATGGCTCCAGCTTATTGAGATCGACGTCACGTATAACGTCCAAATCTATCTTCTCACAGGCTACCTTTTTCCTGAGGTAGTAGCTGAGGAGCTCCTCCTCCGTTGGGTGGAAGCGGAAGCCTGGTGGCACAAAGGACTGGCCGTTAACGGAGATGCTCATTGTGTTATCACTCTGCGCCACCTTGTTGAATCGTAATAATTGGCGATGAAAGTGGAAGGAGATGAAGGACAATTATAAATGAAAGGTGAATGATTGAGTTAGGAGGGAGCATAAAAGGCGAGTGTGGTGGGGAATGAGAGGGGAGAGGATGGAGAAGGCTTGTATTTATATTGCTGTTACACTTGAAAGAAGAGGTGGAAGATATAAATATAATGGAAAATGTTATTGTTCTATCTTCTCTTCATGTACTTGTTGTTAGTGGCGTTAGTTTTGCTGGAACAGAGAAGAGCCACCAACCTCTATGACTTATTGAGCGAGAGAGTTGGTCCCACGCTGCAAAGGTGAGGGGAGAGAGAGAGAGGGAGAGAGAGAGAGGATACATCTAAAAACCATGACACCCGACCTTAAAAATCTCCAGTGAAAAGCACAAGCGAAACAACCAGCTGAAGCTTTTGGTTGCACGTTTGGTTTGATGGAACCGACAAAATGCAAGGCATTTTATTTCGTGATGTATAATTATGTATTTGTTTTATATATAAATTATTTAATATCTTTTTGTTTATAATTTTTTCAGCAGCACTGGTTAAAAAATAGAAAGAAAACTTTAATCTTCAATTGTGACTAATTTCAAAACTAATTTTTTATTAATCATTTATTATGTATTCATATGTAGAACACTCGATTCTTTCACAATAAATAAAGATCTCTAAAAAAAATTTTAGGATTTATTTGGATCAATTATTTTCGTTTGAAAAATAAATTGTGAGGCTGTTACAGCATATAAACAGTAAATCATTGTACAAGTAGTTACCATGAGAATTAAAAAAAATTATTATTTCTTAAATGTTAGATGATAATTTTCTGGTAATCATCACACTCGTCCGAACAAATTATAAAAATCATTTTCAGCCTGAATTATAAGAAAATATTGTGTCTAGAGTCCGGACACAAGCAACGTCCGGAAGCAACGTCCGGATAACGGGTGCAATAGCTAACGAAACTTTCTAGAGTCCGGACACAAGCAACGTCCGGAAGCAACGTCCGGATAACGGGTGCAATAGCTAACGAAACTTTTCTTTTCTCTTCCGCTCCTCCGATGTATGGAGTCCAAAGCAATATTTTTTTCTAACTTATTGTGAAAACAAACTAAAAATTATTTCCTCAAATGTCTCAGCAGTAAGATACAGAGCGCACCACATTATCAGCGCCCCCAAAACCCAATCTTTGTCACAAAAGGAAGCTGCTATTGTGTAACCAACTCAACACCAGCTACACCTACAACTACAACAAGAAGAGCAACGGAAAGAGTAACTCGGGAGAGGAAAAAGATATACGGTGAGGAGGGGAGGGTATTCTAGAAAGGGCAAGAAATTGGACGGGACGATGGAAGGGGTAGAAGGCTTAGCGCTTTCAAGGGGCCCGCCTGTGAGGCTCGGCCACATCACCGCAACAAAACAAAATTTATGCCATAGAATACATTCCATGAAAATATTTTTAATAATAAAAAATGGGGGTTTCAATGTATAATCTCGATTTTTAAAGACAATATGAGTAAATTAAAATTAATTTTTAATTAATTTAAGGCTTTTCTAGAGGTATTTTTGTAATTACACGTTTGTAGCCACGTTGTTTGCAATGTTTGTAAGGATATTTTGGAAAACTTATAATGTAGTCCTGAGTTTGTTTATTAAGGAAATATGGTACGTTTTATTAATCTTTAATCAAACTATCGTTTATTTCATGATCGTAGCCTTACAATTCTGTTATGTAATAATAAGTAATTATCTTTAATATATTGTTCAATCAAGACATAATTGCATTGTGAGCCCTTTTTTCTACCTATTTGCTTTTCTTTTTACTCGAAGATGGGCAAAAAATTGAAGGGGGTGTTTGATAAGTATCTTTTTAGTAGCATCTTTCTCTGGTGGATCTTCGAAATATTCATAAATTTCACTTAATTTTAAGAAATTTTATATAATAATCAAATATTTTTATCTTCATAGAAAAACAATTTTGTTGGCACGTTGCATATGGAAGTTTTGAAAGATGAGCAATTGGGATTATTTTAGCAATGCATAACTCACATAAGAGATTTTGGAATTGGGCAACAATGCATCTAATTAGACTGACTCCGTATCAAACTCTCAATGCTCAAGCGTCTAAACTGCATCCAACCTCAAAATAGGCCAAATAATAAAAATTTTTTGTTCGTGGGCCAGGAACAAGGCATATGACTAAACACTCAAGCACCTGACCTAATTTTAATAGCTTCAGCCCACACAAGTGACCACAGCTAGCATTAGGGTGCTTAATTATATTTCAAAATGCTTGACTAATTAGCATAAACCCAATTTTGGAGAGTTTTAGGTGTCAAAATTGCAGAGTTTTGTGGGAAATCCAGGGGAAAAGTATTATACTATTAACAAGCAAAGTTAGAATTTTGGAGGATTCTTTGGTAGTCACTTCAAAGGAGATACTGATCAAATGAGAAGAATTGCGAGGGCAAACAAGAGTGAAAACTTGTGAAAGTTATTTTTCTCTCGGTTACTAGTTGTTTTGACTTTTGATATTTCATTAATGTATTCAATTTTTTTCTTTTCTTCATTCAAAAGCTAATACCTTCTTAAGGGATGTGATTAGATATGGGTACTGGGCAGGCACCCCGAAGAACTCCCAATAAACCTGCTTAGAGTGGATGAGCTTGGCTACAAAAAAAATAAAATTTTGCGGAACGGATCAGACCTGAGCCCATTTTGACTTAGTTATAACCCTAATGAGCAAGACTTGTGCCAAGTCTGGCACGCCACTACAGGAGATGATGATCTTTGCATCTGATATTTCCAACGAACTTTTCCGACGCAAGTTTTAGTATCTAATTTGCGGTCGTTAAACGAAGAAACTATGTTCGATGTTTGCATCGTATTTTGTGTTCGTTTTGCATTTGAAAATTAGACTGAAAAAGTCCTTTAAAAATGGCAAATGTCTGTTTGGAGTAGCAATGTAAATTGCGTCAAAATTATATTTAAAAACCGATGCAAAACGTTACTCATTAGAGGCAAATCAAATCCAATGCAAATTTGAAGGAAATTACCCTAAAAATGACCTAAAATACATATCTCGTATGCCTCAGTTTCATTTCTTCTTCACGTTCGCCTTTGTCCTTTCTACCCAAAACCCTCACTTTCCTCTCTCCCATTACCCTTTCCCTCTCCCCCTCACGTTTTTGATCAAAACTATTGGCTGCTCACACGATCCTTCACAATTAATCAAAATCCTTCTGTGACACCTCCTCCTGCACCCGTTGTTGCCACCCTTCTGTGGCACCTGCTCCCGCATTCGATTTTACTCTGCCAATTGTGACGCCTGCTGCTTCCACACCTACTCCCCCACCTTCCGTTGGCACACCCCTTGAGCTTGACCCGCGACCCCTGCCCCCACTGAGGGCGCATTTACTGCTAGAGGGGGACCTAGAAGTTATTATAAACTCTTTACTATGTTTACCCTTCATTTTATATATTTTTTGGCAACTAATTTGTTTCTAAAGCAGATTCATTTCCCAAAAGTTGTCCGTCACCCGCGTCACAGAGATTATCATGAACATGTACGATGAGTCATATCTGTCATGGAAGCAGATAACTGTAATCACCCAGGACTTGTGGTTTAGTGAGTTGAGATATGATCATATAATTTGAATCATACTTGTAAATTTGATTTAATTTTTTATACTAACACATGGTTTATTATTTAGTTTGCAGAGGTCCTTCATCTGGCTCTCAGAACACCACCTGCAAATTCGCTGAATCTTTGAGATTCGGGGTAGACATCTCCTTATCGACATGTTCATGACAGCCCTACGGAGGGGCGAGCGACCTGCTTGGATTGGTGAGGGGCTCTTGGGTCAATTGACCATAGCTTGGGCCACTCCTAATTACGAGAGGAAGAGGCAGACGAAATGATCGAACCGGGCGACAGAGGAGCCAGGGGAGCTAAGCTTAATATTGGCGAATCGATCCCACATGCGGAGCACTACCAAAGACTAGTAAGATTTTCCAAGGGAGCTAAGCTTAATATTGGCGAATCGATCTCACATGCGGAGCACTACCAAAGACTAGTAAGATTTTCTAAGATATTTAAAAAATAGTTTAATTTTTGAAGTAATTTTTAGCGTTGACCATTTTTGTACACTACACTGGCTGAAAAGTTGAGTCATGCTCCTTCCAGTGCAGAATTGCATGTCGAATTGATCGACGCCCAATGACTGCACAGTGGGTCTCGGAGCATTCCCCCGAGGGTTGACATAAGTTAAAAATCTTAAATTAAAAGTTAATTTTGATTCAAATTGTTGAAAGTGCCAAATCGACGCTGGTTTTCACTATGCAGGAGGAGTTTAAGCAGCTCTGGGAGATGCACTTGGCCGCTCAGGTCCAGACTTCCGTCAGTAATGGTGGTAGTTAGTCTACCACCGTGCAGTCCGAGTACGAGCTTTGGACCTATGAGACAAGGAGAAAAATGGGGAGAGTTTATAGCCTTGGAGCGAAGAACACAACCTTCGAGGTCGAGCTCTCTCGTAGTTCCGTTTTTAGTTTCTTGAGCTCCTCACGACCAAACCAGGAAGCTCTTGCATAATAAGTGGATGCAATGACCAAAGAGATCCGCCAGTTGCACGAGCAGATGCTAGATGGCCAACATAGAGTTGAGGACTCTATATCGCGCATGGTGGAGATCTTAGCAGATAGCTGGTGCAAGCAATC